GGTGTACAGAGACTGGGGCTCCGCAGGAGCAGGGCCGGGGACCCCTGGTGTACAGAGACTGGGGCTCTGCAGGAGCAGGGCCGGGGACCCCTGGTGTACAGAGACTGGGGCTCCGCAGGAGCTTCGCAGGAGCAGGGCCGAGTGAAGAGACTGGGGCTCCCCAGGAGCAGGGCCGGGGACCCCCAGTGTACAGAGACTGGGGCTCCGCAGGAGCAGGGCTGAGTGAAGAGACTGGGGCTCCGCAGGAGCAGGGCTGGGGACCCCCGGTGTACAGAGACTGGGGCTCTGCAGGAGCAGGGCCGGGGACCCCCGGTGTACAGAGACTGGGGGTCTCCTGAGGACGCCCAGTTTAGGAGATATAATCTGTCTTCGAGGGTCTCCCTCTACATGTCTAGATATTTTTTCAGAAAAGCAGAAACAAGAATGGGTCCAGAATTCTGGGAGAAACGCTAATTAGTTCACAGGTGAGAAACAGGACCACCTTTCAGGCCCTTGCCGTCGTGTGTCTCTTCGATGAAGGATTTATCACCCTGCGGACAGCGCTTCCTGCTCCTCACGCCTGTTTACAACTGCAGCCCGGTCTTAGCCTCGCGCGCGACAGGAGTGACGTCCCCCGCCTGAGCGAGGGGTCACGCCGAGGGTCGAGACGAGCGGGGGGGGGGGGGGGGGTGGGGGGGTGACGTCACTAGCCCGCGCCGCCCCCCTCGTGTGATGATGCCCGTTATCGTAATACGATTTCTGCGGCTTTGTGACGGATTTCACCTGCAGCAAAGTCAAAACAATCCCGATAAAGACTCCACCGTCTAAATGACTGATTATATTCAGGCCTAATTATGTAAATACAGGTATAAAACACGTGTATATTCGCCGTTTCTGTTAACACTTTTATTTAGAAGGGTTACGGGCGTAGATTACGAGGGTGAATCTTTAAAGTCACAAATTTAAACCTTAATAACTATTGTCGTGGTACGAAAGAAGTTAGTCTCTAGCGGCACCGGGCCGCAGACGGTAAACTGTGACGTCACCGCGACGAGCCGGTGACGTCGTATTCCACGTATGGGGGTGGGGGCACGTCAGCGCACGTCCGCCTCGGGCGGCCTCATAAGCC